AATCTTACAGGGAAAGGGCCCCAGGACAAGAAGGGAGCATTCGTTGTGTGCTCGTTGTGAACCAGGCCCTGTGCCTCATGCTTCGCACTTATCATCTCATTTTGTCAGTGTTGATGCCATTGCAAAAAGGAAAATGTCAGATGTTAACTGGTTTGCCTCATGTAACACTGCTAGTACGTGGTAGGGTGAGGTATCTTTCCCCCAAGCCCATGTTCTTTCTACTCTACCATTTTATTGTCTATGAATTATGACTATAATAAGATATTTAAAGCAAGTATGTGGGAACTAACGCATCTATTTCCCTGAAAGATTAGGAAACGGGGTGAGGGATATCACACATTTACTCCAATGAGTGAAATCATTGTTAAAATTTCCTCCCTTAGATTTAAGTTTGAAGCTAATTGCCTATTGTTTGTAATGTCCTTTCTTTGTCCTTGGAGAATGGAACTCTTTAACCTTTAAAACAGATGTATTATGTTTGGAAATACATGAAAGCTATTCTTAGAAAACAGGTTTGGTTAATAAAATTTTTAATAGGCTGAGAAATGACAGTTGTTTCTAAAACTGGATGAACATCAGGTCCTAAGACTGGCTTTGTTCTGTATAATGTATACCGACCATTAAGACAATTCTGGAAAGCAGTGGAGGATGCCCAAGTCCTTGGGCCCCTGCACCTGCATGGGAGACCAGGAGGAAGCTCCTGACTCGTGGCTTAGGATCGGCGCAGCTCTGGCCATTGTGGCCAATTGTGGAGTGAACCATCGGATGGAAGACCTCTCTCTCTCTCTCTACCTCTCCTGAATTCACTCTCTATGTAACTCTGACTTTCAAGTAAATAAATAAATCTTTTAAAAAGACAATTCTATAACAGAGACTCCCCAAATAATCCAAACAATGACAACCTATTCCAGGAATATTCCAAACTGACTACTTTAACAGGAAATTATGTCAGTATGGATGGGTCCTGTGTGTTTGTGAAAAATCCAACCTCAAAGGTTTTGGTCACAATGTGCACTATTAAGTGGGATAGACATTTCATTAAGAATGAAGAATTATATCCTATGTATACTGTAGAAGCATGGTATATGAAGATAAATGCATTACACTTGTATGCAATTTCAAATGATACAAATTTTTGATTTATCAAAAACTTATAAATAACTGATGAAATATATGAATCAACTTGACAAGTACAAATTGTCCCATTTGCCTTTCCATACTCAACCACTCATAGCAGACCTAAGTTCACACTTTAGCCATACAGCCTTCTGTAATTTTCTCTTCCACACTCTACTTCCCTATCAACCTAGTCTCTCGTTGAAGGGGATCTTCCTTGCATTAAGAAATGAGATGTTGTCTGTTTTTAATTAAGATTTACATGACATTTATCTCATATTATTATTATTCATATACAAGTCCTATTTCCTCCTATTGCATTTTAAGCTTTTCTTAAACTTCAGTTTAGATGATTCTTTCATTTTTGCATCCCCCATATAGCTTAACACAAAGAAGTGTAGCATATAAAGGCCAGTTCTCGCAAGCCAGTTTGTCCCAGTAGACTATAAGAGGTTAAACCCTAAAACAACCACAAAAAATAGTCTAGTGAGCTTAATGGGATTCCAAAAAAAATCTAAAATTGGGCCCAAAATGAAACAAATAGCCAGTGGGATATAATAAATCATCAGCAGATTAAGCTTCTGCCTGTGGCACCAGCATCCCATATGGGTACCAGTTCCAGTCCCAGTAGCCCCACTTCCAATCCAGTTCCCTACTAACACAGAGGATGGCTCAAGTCCTTGGGCCCCTGCACCCACATGGGAGACACAGAAGAAGGTCCTGGCTCCTGGCTTCAGATTGCTATTGAAGCCACTTGGGGAGTGAACCAGTGGATGGAAGATATCTCCCTCCCCCTCTCCCTCTCCCTCCCAAACTCCTCCCTGCCATAACTCTGCCTTTCAAATTAACCTTTTAAAAAACAAATAAACCAATCAACAGCAAGATGATAGAATTAAATCTAATTATGATGGCATTAAATATAAATTAGTTAAACATTCCAATTAAAAGGCATAGATTGGGGCAGGCGCCGTAGCTCACTTGGTTAATCCTCCACCTGCAGTGCCAGCATCCCATATAGGCATCGGGTTCTAGTCCTGGTTGCTCCTCTTCCAGTCCAGCTCTCTGCTGTGGCCAGGGAGGTCAGTGGAGGATGGCCCAGGTGCTTGAGCCCTGTACCTGCATGGGATACCAGGAAGAAACACCTGGCTCCTGGCTTCAGACCAGTGCAACACTGGCCATGGCAGCCATTTGGAGGTTGAACAAACAGAAGGAAGACCTTTCTCTCTGTCTCTCTCTCTCTCACTGTCTAACTCTGTCAGATAAATTTTTTAAAAAAATGCATAGATTTTCAGATTGTATAAAAAAATTACCCAACTATATTCTTTCAAGAAACCCACTTAAAGACACAGATAGGTTACAGTAGGAAATGTAACCAAGGAGAGGCCTTAGATAGGCTATGTAAGTCATTTGCATATATATAGTTAATGAGATAACTGCCCATACAATAACCCAGGGTGATATTATAATTTGTGTGGATTTTGAATGTTGGTTTTCCCAACACTGTTTTAAATTTTTCAATGACTTTTTTCTTTGTTTTTAATTTATATTTTAAGGAATACAAATTTCATGGAATGACTTCTTTTGGGATTAGCATATTTCAAAACTCTCTATTACCCTATATCTCACTTATTTACATTAGTTTCATGATTTTTGAAGCTATTTACTTGTAAAGCATCTGGTGAGTTGAGCAGAATATGTGAGAGTACCTAATACTTACCTATTCCCAAAACTTAAAGACATATAAGATAAATAATACTTTACTGAATGAATGTGTGTCTAATTCTAGTTCACCCTTCCATGAATTTGTTGTATTTTGATTACCAAATCACTAGCTCTTTACAAGCTCTAGTTTCATTATCTATAAAATGGAGAAATAAGTCTACTGAAGACTTCTTGCTTTTAAAAAGGCTCTGGTTCTGTGACATCAGTATTAATTACTAAGTAGCAAAAGAATTTTCTATGCTATTGGCTGAAAGAGATCATGCAGAATTTCGAATAGATATCATTTTCCACTTCCAAGAAGACACAATCGAAATCAAGACCTCAAGAATTCTCATGAGCAAATACTCACATAGTCATCTGTAGCATCTTTGACAGCTGTCATCATTATTACCAGGACCAAAGGTACAAAGGTGGTAAACCAGGTCAAGGAGGAGATTTCTGGAATTAGCTAAAACAAACATTTCAAATACTTTAGGATAATATATATCATCCAAATTCTTGTCATTGGGGGTTATTTTCAGCTATTCATAAAAATGTAAAATTATTTTCAATTATTTATTTGCATTCTATTATCATACACATAGAATAGGAATATCATTGAACCAGGTTTCAAACTACCTGACAAAAAATACAAATTTTACAGAGAGTTGAGAAGTAGATCTCTCAAAATCATCTACAGAAGATCTTTCCTCAGATATTAAATGTCACATGTAATTTTCAGGTTCTCCTCTCAACTTTTAACCAACTTTCTCCTCACCAATTCCTCGAAAGAGTTTCTTCGAGCATCTACCCTGCACTATACCCTGTGTCAAGCACCTTCTATATAGTACAACATTTGATCCTCAGCGGAAGATCACCAAGTTAGATTCTGTATTAGAATTGGTTTGCGTAAACACATAGAATTTTTAATTCTGTGTAGTTAGCATCCCTGGGAGTATATAATAGAGAATATATTACAAATAGTGACCTAAAGCACAGGATGTCCTATTTCCATTCCATAAATTAAGTATCTGAGGGTTACAAAACTGAGCCATAAACATACACTGCTGAAGTTTAAACCTTAGTTTCTTTCTTACTCCAAGCCTATTCCTTTGTAACTCCAAAGCCCCTCAGCTAAAAGAGGCTTAGTGACCATTGACATAACTCTTGGACAGATGATTTTTTTTTTTTTTTTGACAGGCAGAGTGGACAGTGAGAGAGAGAGAGAGACAGATAGAAAGGTCTTCCTTCTCCATTGGTTCACCCCCCAGTGGCCGCTGCGGTTGGCGCGCTGCAGCCAGCGCACTGCGCTGATCCAAAGCCAGGAGCCAGGTGCCTCTCCTGGTCTCCCATGCAGGTGCAGGGCCCAAGCACTTGGGCCATCCTCCACTGCACTCCCGGGCACAGCAGAGAGCTGGACTGGAAGAGGAGCGACCGAGACAGAATCCAGCACCCCAACTGGGACTAGAACCCGGGGTGCCGGCGCCGCAGGCGGAGAATTAGCCTATTGAGCCGCTGCGCCGGCCATAGACAGATGATTTTCAAAGGTGCTTCATTTTGGAGCTGGTTCAGGGTCATCAGGCAGGGAGGATAGCATGAAGATGGAAACCAGGCCTCCTCAGTACAACTCTAAGAGGTACACATTTGGCCTAAGGGTTAGGATACTTGTGTCCCACATCAGAGTGCCATGGGTTGACTCCCAGCTCTGTCTCCGGATTCAAGATTCCCGCTAATGTAGACTTTGAGAAGGCAGCAGTGATGCCTCAAGTAACTGAGTTCCTGCCATCCATGTGCAAGACATGGATTGAGTTCTCATCTCCCAGTTCCAATCCAGTCTTGGTCATTGTGAACAATTGGGGAGGGAACCAGTGTATGGAATCACTAAATAAATAAATTAACTTCTTTAGTAAACAACTCCAAATGGTATCAATTTTATACAACATGTTTCATGTAAGATTTTCAAAAAATTCAAAAGTCTCTGAGGTAGTAGCAGCACTAGGCTAGGTGGCAGAAAAGCTGGATTTCAGTCCAAGTTTACCATTAACTCATGGTGAGAGCTTTACATGTGACCTAACCTCGCTGGGTCTAATTTCTTCATCAAAAAAGAAAAGAGGTTGGACTAAACCATCCCGAAGGTCCCTTCCAGATATAAAATTCTATGAATAAAAGCCTCTGACCACAAATAAGAAAGCTATTAGGAAATAAACAAAATTCTGGAATGGGATGAAGAAACCAAAAACAATTTTGTAAGAGGATAAAAGAGGAAGAAATCTTGGATTCTAAGGTTTCTTTAATAAATAGTAAGATGTTAATTCATTTTTTTCTTTTGTTTTTTTTTATTCTGTTTTTCCCCTGATCCACATCCAGTTCTTTTCAATTCTACTCCTCTTTATTGGGGAACCACCCCATCCCCTCTATTTTCAAGTCCACAAAATTTCAGTACAGATTGAGTCCATTCTGACTCCAGGTTTTGGCACACAATGTAGGTCAAGTCAATCACTGCCCCAAATTCTTGAGCCACGGTGATTGGTTTATGAGTGAAGCTGTCACCGCAATCGGAGTTAATCCCAAACTTTTGCTACAAAAGATGGCCCCAAGTCCTTTGGCACCTGTCAATCACATGGGAGACCTGGATGAAGCTCCTTGCTTCTGGCTTCAGCATGGTTCAGGCATGGCTGTTGCAGCCATCTGGAGAGAGAATAAACAGAAGACTTCTCTCTCTCTGCCTTTGAAATAAGTAAATCTTAAAAAAAAAAAAAAAAAAAAAAAAAAAAAAAAAAAAAAACTTTTGCTGCAGCAACAATAAAAAGTAACACACTCTCTCTTCCCCCTCTTCTTCCTCCTCTTTCTCCTGTGTTAGACTTGAGTTGGAGCTAGGAAAATAGAAATTTAGAGCTGTCAGGATTACCAGGTAGAGAGCCTACCTTAGAGTCAAGCTAAGATGAAAGAAAATAGAGAAAGAGAAACCACATCCCAATAAAATTGTTATTGCTCATGAATCCAGTTATACTGGAAATGTCATATATGCCCCTGAATATAGTCACCTTTTATATAATTTAGATTTAATTTATAATCAAAAATTCCTTTTTAAAAAACATTTATTTTATTTGAAAGCCAGAGTTACACGGAGAGAGGGAGAGAGCAGAGAGAAAGAGATATCTTCCATCCACTAGTTCGCACCCAAAATGGCCACAATAGCCAGGGCTGAGCCAGGCTGAAGTCACCAGCCAGGATATTGATGCAGGTATCCACATGCTGGCAGGGGCCCAAGCACTTGGCCATCTTCCACTGCCTCTCCCAGGCCATTAGCAGGGAGCTGTATTCGAAGTGTTACAGCAGGAACAAGAACCAATGCACAAAAGGGATGCTGGCATTGCAGCCGGCAGCTTTACCAGCTATGCCACAACACCAGCCCCAAAAGATTGTTAAAACAAAGTTATTCAATTAAAGAAAAAATAGTATTCAAAGCTATTAACCTAGATGACACATGACTAGTCAACCTTCTTACCTTATATAATTAATACAAAGTCCAGAACGTTCTGAATCTATAAGTTTCATATGACAAAATTACCCTAAAATGAATGCTGTGGAAATAACAGGCTAAGGTGAGCACACATGTATGTGTCTTCCCTGATTTATCCCTTCTTCCTTCCCAAAATATCAGTAAGAGCTCAAATTTCAATTAACCCAAATTTCAGATAGGGAATAAAGAAAGGCTATTTGTTTCCAATTAACACTTCACGCTGTAAAACTCAGCATCCAACAGTGAAATAACATATAATACCCATCAAATATTTTAATTCATAAATTATGTCATTATTCTCAGAAAAATATGAGATTTGCCAAATTGAGTTCCACAACCTGCTCAGTCTTAGCCAGCTAGGACTCTGCCTGGACTCTGGCAATCCCTGTACTGTCAGATGAGAGGGAGGTAAAGAAAGGAGAGAAGCTACAAACAGCAATTTTTAGGCTCTGGTTTGGTTCAAATAAAGTGCAAGCCTGCATTTTTAAATGACCTCAGAGTTTAAGATGATGAATGTACTCTTTTTTACCCATTCTGAGTCCTCCTACATTTGTGACAAGAACCAGCAATAATAACATTAAAAATCTGATAAGGATGATTTTACTGAATCATGAAAAGTTACTAAATTACCTTATTTTTTTCAAATACATGAACACTTTTATGAAACAGATATTGAATACATACAATCTAAACATTACCTGTAAAATCAGAAGAAAAAGGAAGTAGGCATTTGCCACTCTTTGGAACTGTTCAAATAAATTAATTGGCAAGAAGGTGAGAAGGTTGTACTTGGATGTGTGAATACGATTGTCCTGAAAAAGAAATAGCATGGTGTTAGTTCGGAACAAGGTATTGTTCATTATCAGAAATGGCCCTAAAATTTACAAAGCTGAGCATGAGCAGTGCTAGGGCAAGAAAAAAGAAGACAGTTATGCAGAAAATGTAAAACTCTGTGGCCCAAGGCCTTCAGTTTTCCCAAAATGGCATGCTCCTCGTACTAACTAAAATTGCTATTCATTGCCATAAAGTCACCCTTGACTAAAAACATCACGTGCAAAAGTCCACTCTCAAGACTGAGACTTTGACACTTATACATTCAGTCATTTTGCACTTGTGGCTTGAGTATCTATTGTAGGCAGAAACGGAGCTTACACAGGTCCCACCAGCTAGAACACTGAAGACTATCTAGTCCACCTTTCCAAAATACAATTCCTCTAAGGGCCTGACAAGGGACTCCCTCAGTCTATTTTTGATAAGAACCCAAGTGCCTCACAAGGTAACCAAATCCCATTTCAAATGTTCCTGTTTCAAAGTGGGAATTGCTAGAAAGGTCTTCTGTTCACAGATTTATTTACTTATTTAAAAGACAAAGTTAGAGAGAGATGGAGAGATATTCCATCTTCTGCTTCCCTCCCCAGATGGCCAAGACTGAGCCAGACTGAAGCCAGGAGCCTCATATGGATCTCCCAAGTGGGTAGCAGGGGCCCAAGCACTTGGACCATCTTCCTCAGATTTCCCAAACCATTAGAAGGGAGCAGGATTGGAAATGGAACAGTTGGGACGTGTACCGGTGCCCATAGGGGACGCCTACCTCACAGTTGGTGGCTTTACCCACTATGCCACAAAACTGGTCCCTGGAAAAATCTTTCTTATAAGAAACCCCAAAATCTCCTTCTCTCTGACTTCTTGCCATATGCCAAGTTCTTGCTCTGGGGTCACCCAGACCAAGTCTGAGGTCCTTCTAGGTTGATAACCTTCAAATAATTGAAGAACGCTTAGTGCACTCCCGTTCATCTTCACTACTCTGACTAGAAGATCCCAAAGCTCTCAACCATCTCAAGACTCATTTTGTAGACATTTTTTCCCAGTCAGTCTCTTCGAGATCCATCCCCGTTTCTTGGCATCTCTCATGAAACATGGCATCTAGAACCAAACACCACCAAACCAAACACAAATTGCAGATCTGGTCCAACCAATCCTTGTACAGTCAATTTACACTTGATGTTCAATTTTCTGAACTTTTGTATTAATGTGCCCTAAAATTTCATTAGTATTTTGACAATTGTATCTCACTGCATATTCATATTGAGTTTTGATCAACTCCTAGATCAGGTAAGCATTTGGCCTAGGGATTAAGACAACACTTGAGACATTCACATTCCATAATCAGAGTACCTAAGTTCAAGTCCGGCTCTGGACCCAATTTCAACTTGCTAATGTGCACTTTGGAAAGCATCAAGTGATGGCTCCAGTAGTTGTGTTCCTGCCACCCATGCAGGACACCCAGATTAACCTCCTAACTCCTAGCTTCAGCCTACTGAAGACATTTGATGAGCGAACCAGTAGATAAGCTTGCTCTCTTCCACTCCATTTCAAGTAAATTACATAAATAAAAATTTTAAGTAATATCACTAGATCATTTTATGGAAATCTCTATTAAATTTCCCTTTCTAAACAATTATAGCTATTCTTAATAGACATGTATTTATTTGAAAATCAGAGTTACAGAGAGAGAGGGAAGGAGATGGAGATCTTCTATTCACTGGTTCACTCCCCTGCTGCAAAGGCCAGGGCTGAGCCAGGCCAAAGTCAGGAGTCAGGAGCTTCATCCAAGTCTCCAACATGGGTGATATGGGCCCAAATACTTGGACCATTCTCCACTGCTTTCCCAGGCCATTATCAGGGAACTGGAACAAAAGTGGACTAGCCAGGACACAAACCAGCACCTATATGGGATGCTGGCATCATAGGCAGTGGCTTTACCTATTAAATCACAACACTGGGCCCTACCATTTATTTTTTAAATAATGATGTATTTAAATATGTTTTTCATGTATATTCCTATTCTATGAGTCTAATAAGCAATTATCTTTTCATCTTGAATATACTATCTAAAGTATTAAATATTCCTCCCACTTGCATGTCATCAAAAAAATTTCAAACACATGCCTTTTAATCTTTGGGAGGTTATTCTTCCAACCCTGTAGACAAATGACACTAAAAAGTACAAGGCCAAAGGAAAAAAAAAAGTAAAATAAAAATCCCACGAACTACTAGATTAATGTTAACAGCTCTTTAAGGTATAAAATAAAACATATTATGAATGCTTTATTTAACCATTTACAAATCCATCTAACTGTATTCCCTTGAGGCTTAACTCTATCTTATCCACAAAGATAGCCTAAGTAGCTTGAGCTGATGGGTCTTGCTGAAATTTAGCATGAATATGCTCAGAATACTATTTTTTAAGTGAAGTTAGCTTGTTTGACCTGTGTTAAGTGAGCCTACACTTGCCCCTCTAATGACTACGAACCGGCTAAAGAAAACAGAGGCATCTGGTAGATGACTGCTCTTAACAATTCCCAGGGATCAAGGTGTCCAGCTGTGTGCCAGGATGAGGGGAGTCAGGAAAAAACCCAGCGGAGAGCCAGGGTTTTTTAGTGTTACTCACTCAAGAGTTCTCTGTGAAGGAAGGCTATAAGAACTATCAATCGTGACATGATTTTCCAAAGGGACTTGGAGAAAATAAGAGGGAAGAAGAAAGCAAAGGAGAAAAAATAATGAACTAAAAGGATATTGTATTCCGTATTCTGTTTTACATCGTCCTTCTAAGTTAAAACTAAAATAGAGCTGAAGCTGGTATCTTGAGAAAAGGAAAGATCCAACACCTGGGACGGACAAAACCCCTGCCGCAATCACGAGGAAACTCGCCTACAAAGCTGAATTCCACGCAGGTGAAGAGCTAATTTTGTGGGATGAAGTGATAACGCCCAACAGAAACTGGGCCAATGTTCGCCTACTTATTTAGTTTGACATATAGCAAATGGGTGTGTGTGTTCTCCTGGCTCTGTTGTAACTTAGTCACAGATGATGCAAACCCTCACAGCTTTGCCTAGGAACAAGGAACGAGGGCTCCCCCTCCTGGAAAAATCTCTAGATCCATTTACTTTTCTTCATTTTTCAGTCAAAAACAAAACAACATGCACACCTTTTTCCATTTCCCCTGCCCTTAAATCAGGCACGTTAAGTCATTTTGTTGAGCCTGTGGACTTACAGTCAGATTTTAGTATAAGTCATTCCATAATAAAACACAAGTCTCCACCTCTCTCCTCTTAAACTACTTTTCCACCATGGACTACTAGAAACATGGCCATCCGGAAACAAAGGAGCGGGTGGAAGGAGTGGCACGTGGAGGAGCCATGTAACATCTCTGGCGCTGACAGAAGCCGGGTTAGAAGCCATGGTTTTAGTTTCTTAGCCAGTGGGCTGGTTAATTAGCCCCGTGAGAAGGAGGCAGTCTCAGGCAGATAGTCATAGGCAGTGCTGGACCAGGACAAACCACACACATATTGAGAAAGAGCCTTCCCCTAGAGGAACATGGGAAACCACCTGCTCCTGGTAGGAAGATCACTTCTGAGGGGGAGGAGGGCAGAGCTGAGGCCCTGTATTCCTCCAAGACTGACTCATCAGATAAGTGACTCCCTCTGCCCTGGGGCAGGGTGAGTAAAAGGTTAAACCATCACCAGCAGTGCCGGCATACCATATGGGCACCAGTTGGGGTCCCAACTGCTCCAGTTCTGATCCAGCTCCCTGCTGATGACCTGGGAAAGCACTGGAAGATGGTCCAAGTGGTTGGGCCCATTCCACCATGTGGCTACTTGAATGGATGGATATCCTGGTTCCTGCCTTCCATCTGGCCCAACACTGGCTGTTGCGGCCATTAGGGGAGTGAACCAGTGGATGGAAGATCTATCTGTCTCTGTCTTGCCCTCCCTCTCTCTGTGATTCTGACTTTCAAATAAATAAATAAATAAATATTTAAAAATATATAAATAGAGGCCGGCATTGTGGCACAGCAGGTTACAGCCCTGGCCTGAAGCGCCAGCATCCCATATGGCCACCAGTTCCAGTCCTAGTTGCTCCACTTCCGATCCAGTTCTCTGCTGTGGCCTGTGAAAGCGGTGGAAGGTGGCCCAAGTCCTTGGGCTCCTGCAGCCACATGAGAGACCCAGAAGAACTCCTGGCTTCGGATCAGCACAGCTCCAGCCACTGAGGCCTCCTGGGGAGTAAACCAGCGGATGGAAGACCTCTCTTTCTGCCTCCCCTTCTCTCTGTAACTCTTTCAAATAAATAAAATAAATCTTTAAAAAATAAATTAATTAAATAAATGGGTAAAGAGAGGAGTGTCATACCAGTAGAGATTCTTCCACCTGGAAAGCAATGTCAGGATGAAGACAAAGCATTGCTCCTCTAAAATACAGTAATACAAAAGTGGACAGATGACAACACATTTGGGAATCTAAAAAAGGGATTATAAGGCTGGAGAGGTCAGCACAAACTGGGGCCAGAGCGAGAAGTTACTTGGAATCTGTTCTACAATCCTAGTCCTTACCAGATAAAGTTAAAACCACAACTAAGGGGCCAGTGCTGTGGCACACCATGTAAAGCCACCACTTGCAGTGCCAGCATCTTATATGGGCTCCAGTTCAAGTACTGGCTGTTCCACTTCTGATCCAGCTCCGTGCTAATGTGCCTGGAGAAGCAGTGGAAGATGGCTGAAGTTCTTGGGCCCCTGTACCCACATGGGAGACCTGGAAGAAGCTCCTGGCCAGGCCATTTCTATCAGCAGATAGAAGGTGTGTGTATTTGTGTGTTTTTGTGTGTGTGTATGTGTGTGTGTCTCCCACTCTCTCCCACTCCCTCTCTCTGCCCCTACCTCTTTGTAACTCTGCCTTTAAAATAAAAAAAAATCACAAGGGGAAATTACCAAAAGCTTTTCGGTAAAGAAAGAATTTGATGAGATTTTTATTTT